ATTTAGAAAACATTTATGATCTGTGGAAGATTCCTGTGTTGAAAGATATTCTGACTGACCGTAGCATGTTAGCATGTCTGGTTAATGTTAGCATGTCTGGTTAATGTTAGCATGTCTGGTAATGTCTGGTTAATGTTATCATGACTGATTAATGTCTGGTTAATGTTAGCATGTCTGGTTAATGTTAGCATGTCTGGTTAATGTTAACATGACTGGTTAATGTTAGCATGTCTGGTTAATGTTAGCATGTCTGGTAATGTCTGGTTAATGTTATCATGACTGGTTAATGTTAGCATGTCTGGTTAATGTTAGCATGTCTGGTTAATGTTAGCGTTCCTCATTGCTTGGTGTGCCTGGCTGCAGTTAGCCCACCAGGCATATCTGGTAATAAATACTGCATATTTGCAGTATTTACTTTTTGCAAATCAGTCAGATTTCATGTGAACTGCCTGATTTTCATAAATTTCTATATTTATAAAATTCTTGATCGATTCTGTGAACAGAACAAACCTTTCCCAATACGTGGAAGGAAATAATTCCAGCTTTGTCCCAAATATAAAAAGACAAGTGAAAACAAAATACAAACTTTGTTACTTTAACATCAGTTACTAAAACTACTCATTTTATATTTACTGATTTTATTTTTCTTCACTTGAGGTCGTCATATTGGTCCAGCTCGGGAGGTCGAAGGTCGTCTGCCCGCCATGGAAACATTTGTTGCTGCTGAACTCAAATCATCGGGTTCAGAACCGATGATCCCAGAACTTCGGTTCTCTCTGAGGTTTACGGCGTCGGGTTCTTGTTCTGCTCGAAGCCGTGACTGACGCCGCAGTAATAAACAGCCGAGTCGCTCTGTTCGGACCCGCGCAGCACAAGCGACCCGTTAGCCGTGGCGGACACTTTCTGTGGGCCGACGCCGTCGCCGTACCTGATGACGGAGCCGTTACCGGGGCTGAGGCTCAGCAGCAGTGTCGGGCCGTGGCCCGCCGCCTTCCGGTACCAGCTGAGGGTGGCTGGATCCGCCGAGTCGCTGGTTCCGTTGGAGCCGTCCAGCAGGGGGCAGTGCAGCGTGGTGTCCTCTCCGACTCCCACCAGGACGGTCGGCAGGGTGGCGGCCCGGAAACCTGAGGAACAGAAACGCTGAGGCTGATTTACTGTTGCTGGGCGTCTGAGGAAACAACTGACCAGAAATAAAATATAATATGAGAAACAACCAAGATAAAAAAATTAAAACGTACATCAGAGAAAAAATAGAAAAGATCGAGTTATAAAAGTGAATGAATTAAAGTTTCGAACAAAATGCCAAACTACAAATAAGAAAAATATATATAAATTATATAAAATGAATTGAAAAACTTAAACATTAAACATATGAGAAAGAATTAAGGTAAAATATGAAGAATAAAAAAAACGTTAGAGAATTTTTTTCTTTATGAGAGGCTGAATAAATAAAAATATTGTGTTAATTTCTACTGTGTAATTTCACCAATGGCAGCAAATACAGTTTGAACAAAATTTCTAACAAAAAAATAAAATAAAGAGAATATCTGTTAGTCTGAAATAACAGATGTTCTATATTATTCCTTGTTATTTTTGATTAACTCATGTTTACATTTCACTCTTGCTAAATTGACTTAGTAATTATTAAAGCTGAAAATATTTTTTCTTAGTAACTTGTGCTACAAACTGTCAGATATAAAAAAAACATTTTATTTTTGTTTTGCAGATTCTGTGAGAAACTTTAATATTTTTCAATGAAAATCTGCTTAAAGAGTTTCCTTTTGAGACCTTCCTTACTGAAATAATAATAAATAATCTTTGTGAGTTAAGTGGGACTCACCGCTGAGAGCGAGGAGGAAGACGATGACCTGCAGACGCCTCATCTTCATCAGAATGAGTGAGGAAGCTGATGCGTTTCGTTATAAACAGCAGATGTTTACTTCCCAACTGCTGACGATTTTTATCCAGCTGCTGTTTTTCAGACACAAACTTTGCTCAGGATTTCCTGATGTTTACCCGTTTTACTAAAACACCTGTTTTAACTGAAGGTAATTTAATTATCCATCGAGGAAAAGTGATCAACAAAACCCAAAGACAATCCATCGAATTATCTGCACTCAGTGGAAATAACTGAAATATTTATTAAAATCCAAGAAACAAATCCACATGTAGTGTGTGTGACTGCTCAGCAGGGGGCAGTGTGACCCTCCAGCAGATCAAGTTCTGCTTTACCATTATGCTTTACTTTTATATTGGTCTGTCATATTACACGAATTTAACATTATGGATGTAACTCAAGAAAATGCAGGAAAACATTTTCTTGGGACATTTTGTTTATTCGATCAATATTACAACTTTGTTACAACATGAGTAATATTTATATCAGTATGTATTGGTAGCATTTTGACTTCCATCTTATGACTTTATTGTATTATCACAAGAATAAAGATTCATTAGTATAACTTTATTCTCACCTTATTATTATTATTATTATTATTATTATTATTATTATTCTATTATTGCACATTTATTTCTGGATTAGTGTGACTTTATTTTCTTATTTAGAACTTTTGTTTTCCTGCTCTGGCCCTAATATTCCATCGTATGATTATACTTACACATAATTTGAAGTAACTGCTGTGGTCACTGTAGTTTTCCCACAGTGACACTGGTATGGTGTTTCCTGTGTGTGTGTTCTCAGGTGACAGGTCAGGTGACTAACCTATCTGAAGCACATACCTTGTAGGAGTACGGTTTCTCTCCTGTGTGTCTGACACCGTGAAAGTCCTGTTACACTCTACAGGAATACACCCCTTCTGCCTGTGTGTGTGTGTGTGTGTGTTGTTGTGATGGGTCAAACTGTTGCTGCGTCTGAAGTATTTCTCATACCGGTTACAACCATAGGGTTTCTCGTGTGATTTAAGTACGCAGACTTTCTGAAACTCTTCCCACACCTCACAGGAGAGCAGTTTGCTTTGATGAGTTTTTGGTTTTCAATCTCTCACCTCATCAGAGCCTTCTGGTTTTCTGACGCCTCGTCATCGCTGCTCCATCCAGAGTCTTTGTTAACGCTGCCATGTTGGCCCCCAGCTTCAAGAGTAACTGGAAACCTTCCAGCTTCCTGTTTCATTACAAGCTGCTCTTCTTTGGTTGGTCAACGTTTCGTCCTTCATCTCTGCCACCTGCAGTGGTTCCGGTTCCTGTTGTTCCTCTTTGACATCCACAGGTTCTGGTTTCTGCCGTGGTTCTGATGGAGTGTGGAGTATTTCCTGGTTAGCAGGAGTCTTCAGTTTTAAACCAGTAGATCTGTTGAAGAAGCAGACTGTCCCAGCAGAAAGAAATCATCCAACTGTAGATGTAGCAGATTATTTGTTTTCTTCTGGAAAAAAAATAATCTGAGCTGTCGGAGCAACAGAGAAACTGTTCACACCTCAAAGAATGGATGTTAATTAATCTCTCCCTGAAAAACAAAAACAAGAAAAATCAGATAAAAAAAAAAAATGCCTTCTATGTTTTCCTGCTTCTCTGATCTGGAAATGATCTATATTAAAAATGAAAATTAAATCATGTTGTCCTATTAGACAGCAGCATTATTTGGGCTGTGAAGAAAGATTGTTGAATCTTCTGAGCCTTGAGATTCTTATTTCCTTTCCCAAACAGTAAAACTCTACAGTTCACCTTTGACCTCACCTGAACACACAGAACTTCCTGTTTGAACAGAGGAAATGGCTCTGAAAACATCAGGCATCATCATCGTTATTAGTTTTAAATTCCCTGTTTGGGACTGAAAACGATGTTTCCTGCTGATTGCTGCAGCCGTTATTATGAACTGAAACAAGGCAGTTCAAAGAGCTTTACGTCATAAAACACAAAAATAAAAAGTCATAAAAAACATCAAACAGCCGAGAAACCAGAAACAAACTTTACATTTTGAGTCGCATCAACAAAATCATTGATACTCATCAGAAATGTTCCAGTAGCTCCAAAGCAAATCTAACCCGGTGGATTATCAGTCCAGATTTAAAGGAACTCAGGGTTTCGGCTGTTTTGCAGTTTTCTGGAAGTTTGTTCCAGATTTGTGTGAAGAAGCTGGATGGCGACTGCATGATGTTTTTAACTCAGAGAGGAAACTGAGTTTTGGTTTATCCGTGTGTGTGGGAGATTTATGCAATGAATTAAATGATGAGCTCAAAGTTCAGATATAAACCAGATTAAAAATGTCCAAAATACCGATGGAAACGTTCAATTAGCAGATTATTTCACCGATAGCATGACATTCTCCCAGGTTATAAATGACTTCATCTGCTAATGGGACAAGAACTTTTTCATCCCTAATATTAGGGAATTACTTACTTAAACCAAGCTCCTATATCTTGCTGAAAAGTTGTTTATAAGTTAGTTTTGTGTTATTTCAAGATACTGAGATATTTGCATTGAATCTAGAGCAAAATGATTTGGTAAAATTTTGTTTTTTTAAGGTGAATAACAGAGGAAATCATAACATCTTGTATCTTCTACGTGCTCTTTTATGTAAAAATGCACATCAGTGGGCATGATTATTTGATTAATGATTCATTTTTTCTGTTTTTGCTTGTCTGTCTGAAATGAATAAATAAATAAAACCTTTGGAGAGTCTGGGTTTGTCCTGCTGGGTGTGGCAGTCAGAGGGGGTTAGCCTGGAACAAATGAGGCATGTTTTCAGGGATGCAGAAACAAGCTCCGCCTCCAGCGCAGGAGCTCCACTTGGTGGCAGAGTGTGTGTGTGTGTGTGTGTGTGTGTCAGCTGCTGGCTGCAGTTCAGGAAAGACTGAGCGCTGCAGCATCTTGTCTCTGAGTTTCATTTCTGCTTCTGGAATGTGTTTTCAGTTGCAGAGTTCAGGCGGGTTCACGGCCAGAAAGCTGGGAAACAGAAACAGAAAGCTTCAGTCTCTCACACTCAGTGTGTGCGTGTGTGTGTGTGTGTGCGTGTGTGTGTGTGTGTGTGTGTGTGTGTGTGTGTATGTGCGTGTGTGTGTGTAAAGGTTTCTGCGTCCTCTCTGGGCTTGATAACATGCAGGCGGAGGAAGAGGGTGAGGTTTGGGGTGTGGAAGGGAGGCGTTTCCTCCGGTCCGGCTCGCTGTGAAGGGAAACTCCAGCTCACTTCAACCTGACGAGTCTCATAGATCAGCAGCTTCTCTCCATCCTCTCTGCTGAGCATCATGGCCTCCAAAAACTCCAACAAGGTGCAGAAAGTGGTGATGGGTCTGCTGGCGCTCTGGTCCATCATCTCCATCATCATCATCGTGGTTTGGGCCACGTCTCCGGACCTGAAGGGCTCGGCCCAGTGCCGCGCCGAGCTGCGGGAAGCGACGGAGAAACTGGAGGGCGCCAAGGTGGTGTTCAACAAGGACAGGCAGGCGCTGGAGGAGAAGACGCTGAAGGCATTGGAGGAGCAGAAGCGGCTGAAGGCCGACATCCTGCTGCTGCTGGGACGCCTCAACGCCACCAACGTCACGCTGGAGGAGTGCCAGCTGAAAAACGTGAGTCTGATGCCGGCAGGGACTCATCTGAAACTGCAGCTCAGCTTTACTTTAAAAATCAGGCGACATTTTCCAGATTCATCCTTCATCTGTAGTTCAGCATCAAGGGCAGGACATAGGAGGACCAGGGTTATGGTGCCCAACCCTTTATTTTATTTACTGATGCAGAGAGAAAGACTGAGAAGACTGGGTAATGCAGCTTCAAATTAAAATCAAAGTTTTCTCACTTAAAAAAAAAGTAAGAGTATGAGGGCCATGCTAAGGAAAATAGAAAAATAAACTTTAATTACTGGAATAAAGTAATAATGTCACTAGAATAAGGTTGAAAAATATGAAAATAAAGTCATATTTTACGAGAATGTAGTCTTAAGATTACGACTAATCTTTAATCTTTTAATATTATTATTAATAATATTTTCATTCTATCACAACTTTAGTCCTGCATCATTTTGACTTTATCTTAATATTATTTTTTATATTATTTCTTTTTATTTTCTTGCATGGACCTAATATTTCATCGCAAAACAGAAATTATAAATTACAAAATATTTTCACAATGTGTTTTTTTAATCATTAGGGCCAGGCTACCAGCTGTGTTTGTTTGATTACCAGAATAAAGTCATAATATTAGAAGAATAAAGACAATTTTATTGTTCCACAACATTTACTTCATATAAACCAGTCAAGTTTTGACTTTTAGGTTGTGAAATTAAAGGAATGACACAAACTTTAGCATTTTCAGCGCTAACAGAATCTTCCATTTGTTTTTTCTTCCACAAGATCTGGCAAACAAACAGTTAAAAGTGATTCATTAAATTCATGAAATTTAATTAAAGTGTTTGACTCCTCAAATATTTCCATAAGCAGGATGTTTTCCTTCTCGTCCAAAATAAACAATCGGCTTGTACATTCTGTTGATTTTTAATAACAGCGTTTGAGTTTCTCCTGATATAAAGCTTTGAGTCATTTAACCTAATAGAAAAGCTCATATTGACAATTTCCTTCATGCCCTGAAAAGGTGGGACCAAACACACGACCCTGAGGCGCTCCTGCCAGGATTTACCTCCTGAAACAGTAAAAACATCCCTATAATGTCATTGAAACAAGCAAAGCTGAGAGCATTTGGGCTACACAGTTTCTCAGACATTTAAAATAACAACAGAGAGAAATCTGACGTGTCCCTTGATGACATAAAAACGACTTCCTGTCTACTCAGCATTATCTTTAACCGATACAAACCATGTTGCAACTGGCTTCACCGTTGGGTTTTTGAGATAAATAGTACGTGTTTTGAAAAATTTGATAAAATGCAAACATGTTTTAGGCTTTTATGTATCTGGACTTGATAAGAATGATCTGGTTTCTACCAGGTTGTAAAGTTACTTAAGTTACTTGAAGTGAACAAAAAAGCCTCCCAGCTGCTGATCAAACGAATCGATTAACTGATGGTCGTCAGTGTGAGTCCTCTATAAAAGGAAAGACATCATAGAAGCAATTGTTGCTGCCCATAAATCTGGGAAGGGTCATAAACTTGTCTGCAGACTATTTGACGCTGATCATCCTGCAGAGAGAAACATGGAAACATTTCAAACAGCAACGAGACTCTTCTCTCTAACAACATGGCAGCACGACTTGCATTCGTTAAGCTAAACAAAGTAACGGCATTTGGCCAGAGAACCAAACAATCGCAGCCATCTGACCTGGAAACTTTGCAGTCCGGAGCTAACCAGGAAATCCTCTGTACACCAGAGTATAAATATGAGCCAGAAATGAAGCCAACATGAGCCAACGCCAAACTGGGTCTTCAACTGCAGAACCACTGCGTTTCTATCCAACCGTCAAACCGGAAAATTTTGAGAGAATGTCTTAAATGTCACAAAAAAGTGAAACAGAATGCTGTGTGTCTTTCCATCGCCTGGTTTGGAGAAAATCGATTTGGCCATACAAAGCCAGAAGGTGATGCTGAAGGTTTGGGTTTGAAATCAGAGTTTTAGAGTTTATTCTGTCAACGTGTTTCCATTTCCTCTTCAGTTCATTAACTTCTTTTTTGGGGGGAAAAACCACCACAAGTGGATCAAAAAACTTATTTTCCAAAATTTAGAAACTTATTTTGAATTTTGCCGTTTCCATCAACCTTTTCTAAAGCAACACGACAACGTGGGCATAAAAAATACATTGATGGAAACGCAGCTAATAACACAAACACAGCAGCAAATACCAATGGCCTAGACAAAGTCCAGACCTCCACTTTCAGAGGTGGGACCTTGAGAGACTTGTTCATACAGAAATGTCAGCAAACCTCATCAACCCAAAGCATTGAAGAGACCAGAGGGCCTAACCTTTGACCTTTGGAGCAAAATGCATTTCTGCACAGCATTTCACAAACAGGGTTTGTATTTTGGCTTCGCTCCTGAAGTAGGGTGTACTTTCTTTTCAGCGTAGCTGTTTACCGTTTCCGTGGCTCTAAAGTGATCTGATGTTGAGCTGCGACGTTTCAATCTGCTGCAGTGGAGTCCCACAGGGCACACTGTCCGAAACATTTCATTTGGAGGCAGAAATTTCTTCTTAGCTTAAAATCAGAACTAATAATTGACAAAGGAGAAACGATTCAGCTTTGGTTTGGATGGGAAGAGATTTATCTCAAAGCTTGTGCCTGGAGGGTTATGAAATGTCTCAGTGCTGATTTATGACGCCGCAAGAGACAAACTAATGTTGAAATGAAGCCATCAGCTGAATACGCGGCCAGTGGTTTGAATTAAACAATGATTTGCTGCCAGTTCATCTCTTTTCTGAGCCTAACTTCTGAAATGAAACCATCAGCGTCTTGAAGCAGATGAGCATAAATCAGGTTCTTCAGAAACAGAAAGTGAGTTCAGCAGATCTCTACACGTTTCAGAAACATCCTCCCTCCATCTTCCCTCGCGTTCTGGGACTTGGAGAAGGTTTCCCCTCCCAGCAGTCCCACTGTTTCGCTACTTCCAGCTTCATTTTCTCTGAAGAGCCTGCTGGAAAAAGTGACTGTTGCCTCCTGCTTTTGTGGTTCGTTGTGACTCACTCCTCCTCTTCCTCCTTTTCTTCACCTCTGCTCCACTGCTTCCTTACTTTTTCCCCTATCAAACTTCTCCCGACTTACTGATCGAGTCAAATATTTCAGGATTTAGCAACCTCAGGCTCCGCTGCCAGCATTGCTGCGGATTCTGGCTGAACATGAATGTTTTTGAAGCAGAATACATCAGATTAATGAAAACACGTTTAGAAAAACGCGATTGAGTAATGTTTAGTTTTTCTGCACTTCAGTTCAAAATATTCTGGATGTTTGTGCGGTTCTGAGGTCGCTAACATTCCTGGCATCTGAAGAACCTAAAAATGCTTTACTAGGGTTTTCAAAACATCCTTTTTTTGGATCGGACTGTTGAAAAGTATTTGCCTCTTGCAGATTTGTCTCTTCTTGCCAAATTGTCACTCATTTTAAACACAAAGATAAGCTGAATAAGTAGAAAAATCAGGATTCAAATGATGATTTCATTCATTAACAGGATAAGATTCATCCAAACCAACAAAATAAATGACCAAAACAAACATAAATGTCCGTGTTGTGACTTTTTTACACTTATGTTGTTCAGTATATTTGCATGATAAGTGACTGATTTACAATTATATGTTAAGCATAATTTACATGATGATTATTATTAATTGTATTGAACATGATTGTATATAATTACAAAGGCGAAGTGAAATATATTTCAGTGCAAGACATGATTTATTTGAATAGAGGAAGTCTTTTATTTTGAAGAATGCTTAAGGATCTGTTACTGTTTTGTCACTATCTTGCTTTGTTGACTTTTGATTGCTATTGGTTACGAACAGCTGTTGCCCGTTATCAGCTGACGCCGTTTTTTTCCTCTTCAATAAATGCTGAACAGAAAGGTTCAGTAAAAGAAATACGAGCCTCCGTCTTGTTTGAGAAGAAGCTTTACTCCGTAACAGTCCGTTCCACATACCTGACACTGGGAAAATATTTTGTGGACTGATGAGACAAAACAGAAATGTTTTGGAGGCTGTGCATCCCGTAACATCTGGGGTAAAACTAACAAAAACATTTCAGAAAAAGAACAGTATAGTAGTGGGAGTATGATGGTCTGGAGATGCTTTGCTGCTGAATGACAGATGAGAATCAGTGTTTAGTCATCAGGTCCTGGCTTTTAAGTGCAACTAAAACCCCAAATTAACTTGTTTTGTGGTAGATAAACTATATAAATTGGTCCTTAAGGATGCTGTGACATTTTTATATACATTTCTGTAAATGTTCGTCATGTTTAACTGGTGCAGGTGCAAAAACGCAGCAATGAATGATGCAAACTCCAAAATATACACACAAAAAAATGCAACAGAAGAACGTAGCAAACCAAGTACAGAAGTAGATCGACAAAACAAATGAAATCAAAAAATGCTGCAACCATAGGAAACAGAAGCAAAAGGAAAAACTACGCAAATAAAAACAGCAAGTCTAAAACGCGGCAACGATGAGAACAGAACTCCTCCAGACCAGTAGGGGGAGTCGATCAGGAAATCTTATTGGATCAAACCCTCAGTAAAGACGGGATGTCCAGAACAAAGTTGGAGGAAGAGAGAAAAGGCGCGTTATGCCGACCGTCTCTTTTAAACATGAAGTTTTTTACAATATTATAGAACTGTAGCACATTTGTGTAGCAAATAGGCGACCTCTGGTGGCCTGGAGGACTTCAAATTTGGTGCATTTTCATATTTGCAGCATTTCCCCCTTTGCTTCTCTGGTTGCAGATTTGTGTCAGTGGTTGCAGCATTTTTCACTTGCGTTTCTTTTGTTTATTGTAATTTTTTGCTGCTCTTTTCTCTGACTGCAGTGATTTCCTGTTGCATTTGTTTTTGCCGTTTGCTGTGTGTTTTTACCGGTCGGCCATCGTACTTTTAACCACATCCTCCACAAAACCAAGAAGTTCTGCAACATGCAAAAAGAAAATATCTGTAGATGCTCTGTGGATTCTTCCTGTCTATGTTTGCTGATTATTATGAAGGATGTTGCAGCAAAAAGCACAGAGATACATCAGTCACTGCTTGTCACATTTAAAAATCCTATTATTCTGTTTACATCACAAGTTTTGTCTCACTGCTCGCTGTTCCCCCACCGGAGAGGAAAAACTCAACAATACACGCACCGACATGTTCAGCTCCACCAGTAACGCCGTCCTGAAGCTGTGATTTATTTTTATTAATCACATTATTTAACGATAATAAAAACACGGTCATCATGGTTATTATTGGAAAATCACTCATCATTAAAACATGCAGGCCTGATTTACAGCGGAAAAGTTTAGAGTGGCTTTCATTCATTCCCGCACGAGTTTTCAGTCTTCCATGTAAAACACTGACTTTAAATCTTATATTTGTTTTTTGTTGAGTTTTCTCATGCAGATAGATCCATCATGGCTGCCAAATGGAGAAATAACTGATAGACTTTGATTAATATTTTAAATTTCTTGTCCCAGAGAAGAAACAAACAGGAAGAGATTTAAAACTGGATATTTGAAATAAAGCTCATGCATGTTCTTAAAAACAAGAGCAAAGCTCCGGTCGAATTATAAAATAAAAATAAAATAAATAATCCCCAAGTGGGACTGAAAGAAAAAAGTTAGTGTTAGATTTTCATTCAGAAGCTTGAAACCCATTTCAGCCATGGAAGGGAAAATAAAAGCCCAACAGGAATTCATAATTATGAGTTTTATGACATTAAAAAAAATCATAATTATGAATTTAAGTTGCGTAACTATGACCTCCTGTTGAGCTTTTATTTTTCTTTCATGGCAGAAATGGCCTTCCATAGAAGCTTCGCTGGCTGCTCAGAACTTGTTTTCTGGAGGTTTCACAGCTTTTATGAAGCAGCAGAGCTGCATGCTGAGTTTTCTCTGTGATTCCTGCAGCGGCCGGTGGGACAGGCGTTACGGTGTCTCGTGTGAAAAGTTCTTCTACGCGTCTTTCTGTGGCTGAAACCGAGACCCTCAGCTTATAACCAGACAGTAAAGACGTTGGTTTGGTGTTTGCACTGTCGTCTGTGACTCCTCAGATTCAGAAGCATGAATTAGCACTAACATGCAGCAGGAAATGTAGAAACTTCATTAATGTGAATCTGCTTTGATTTATTTTCTGTTTTTTTCTCTATCGTTCGCTCACATCAGGAAAGTCCCAAAAACAGCAGAGTCAGTTTTCTCCTTCCTGTCATCACCTTCAAGCCGCTTCAGCTCGTCGTTTTATCGGCTTTATTAAACGCTCTGCTGCCTTCCCAGCCCTGAGGAAACATGTGACCCGCTGCTATCAGTTCTTCCTCTTCCTCTTTGTGCTCTCGGCTGTGAAATATTTAGACTGAGTGAGATACTTAGAGCCGCGGTGCGATCTGCAGAGGAAGAGGAATCAGTCTTTATAATAACCAGCAGCTGCTGTCAGGTCACTGCGCTCCGTAAGGTCATCTCTGCCCCAACGTCTCTAAAAATACATCTTAATTACTGAATATTAGGCGTTTTGATTTGGGTCAGTGTGTTTATACCACGCCATGTGCGAGTCGGCAGAAAGAACCCCATCTGCGGTTTGTTAACAGTCACTGAGAACGAAGTGGAGCTTCCTCTGCTTCACTTCCTGCTCAGCTTCTCCAAGAACCGGATGCATGAAGGATTGAAGTGTTTTTTTCTCTGCATGCAATCAGTTTGTTTTTCAAGTCAAACTGCAAACCTGAAGCTTTTACAGCAAATTAAGAAACTTTTAAATAGCAATTCAGCCAGTTTTTGTTCCGTACATAATCTGTTCATTCGCAGACAGCTCTGCATTTGATTAACGTTCGTTAGACTTTAGAGACAGATCAGAATGTTTTAAAATGGGGTTATGTGGATCAGTTCTAAGCAGCCAGTATCTTACCTGCAGTAAGAAACAGTAACTGCCTTTCGCTTGACCATAAAATTGTGCAATTTGATGTTTTGACAATAAGCATGCTTAATGGAAACGCCATTTTAAAAAAAAACTTGTTTTTTGATAAATTTTGGCGCTAGGATGAGCTGTTTTTTTTTTTTTGGCTACATCAGAATTGGTTTATTTTGCAAAACTGCAATGGAAACACTTCGCATAAAGAGTCACATGATTAACAACCGGATGTTACTACTGGCGGAAACCACAAAGAAGAAGACAGGAAGTAGTTGGAGCTTCATGGCGTGACATGACTTTTAATGACTCATGGCGTGAACAAACTTATTTACATTGTTTCACATTTAAGAAAAAAACACAATCGCAAAATTGTGGTTTTTTTTGACATACTGACAAAATCTTGTACACATTTGTAAGCTAGTCAGAGTGATGTAATTGGGAGAAACTGGTCTCAGTGTGTAACTGGTGTTGCCTTCAGGAAACACCAAACCAAAAAACTGGTTTTAATTTTGCTGCTTCAGCAATTCAGGTCAGGGACCAAATCTGTGAATGCTTTACTTCCTCTTTAAAAACGCCTATAACTGCCTATTTTTAAAAGTTCAAACACCAAATGTAAGTTAATATGCATCGATACCCACACTGGAAACCGACTGAGCACTAACACAGGAGTTAACATCCAAAGGACAATGAATGGCGCTCCAAGATTGTCAAGTAGCACCGAGTCTGTGTGTCAGCTTCCCAATCTGCTTTTTCTGTCAAATGTTTCACATTTTCTAAAAATGTTTGTGGAATAGTTTGGAGTTGTGTTTCACTGAAAACTTGGAACCGAAAACAGGCAGAGGCCCAAGTTGCTGTTGACCTCTAGGCTACCTTGACATGGTGGAAAAAAAGTTGATGTTTTATTAATATTTCTGTTGTTTTCTCCTGTTTTAATTCTGCACTGAGCTTCCCAAATGTTTGGCAGTTTTATGTCCTCGCCCATTAAACCCATTTAAGTTCCCTCTTTTCACTCCCAAACCACATCAATGCTAAATCTTCTGCTGTAAAAATGTAGAACGCAGGGCAACAAAGACGGCTTTTTCCCCTCCACGCTCCCTGTAACGTTTTTTCCCCTCTCTGGGTGTTTGTTTCATCCCGCAGGTCGTCCTGGCCGAGAACGTCACGGCTCTGCAGGACGACGTCAGGCTGCTGCAGCAGAGGGAGGCCAACCTCACGGAGCAGCTCAGCCTGCAGGAAGGTAAAACCTCGTCGGAAAAACTCCATTGCTGCCATGAAAGGAGACTTTCTCCACTGGTATTCTTAGCTGTGTTTCCCGCCCCCTGTTACCATAACGACCGGTGAGTCAGAGTAAATAAATACGACCCGATGGAAAGGCTTAAAGAGGAGCGTGTTTAGCAGCGAGACTCTTCTTGAGTCATGTAATCAAAGCATAAAATGAATCGGTCTGCTAAAATTATAAACCAGAGGCTCCGATGGTTCATGTTTTCTGAGTTTTACACAAAAGGAAACAAAATTTGTTTAAAACAAGAGGAAAAAGCCACTCATCCTTTATCTGTCAATACTTGTCCAACTCCAGCAATTAAATCCAAAGTGACTGTGTTAAATACTTTTAATCAGCCTTATTATCCAGAGAAATATGACATATTCCTCTGCATGTTTGGAGTTGCCCATGTGAGGAAACCAAAGCAGAGAAGTTTGTTTTGGGAACCTCAGGGTTAAACGTTTATTTTCAGAAGATGTTGTGGTTCTGTTGGTGTCTTCACACCACGACCTTCGGCAAACACTGGAGCGCTTCACTGCCAGGACGATACTCAGCTTCTCTAAGCTGTGGTTCTGGTTTGGAAGAGGGTCAAACAGTTCACCACGGTTAGGGTCAGTACCGGTAGAGGAAATCAGTCGGGTCAGTACCGGTAGTTTAAACCTCAGAGTAGATTTCCAACATCTGTTGTCTGGGTTCTTCATCAGTCAAACTTTATGTGAGAGCAGCAATGATTGTTGAAGGAAACTTGGTCCAAAGCTCGACCAGAGTTGATCAAGAAGGACTCGAAGAAACTCCATGATCAAGAGAAAGGAAGTTCTTTGGTCTGATGAGACCAAAACTGAGCTTTTTATTCATCAGAAAAGACGCTATGCTCGGCCAAAGCCAGAGGTGGGAACCACTAACTAAAAAGTTATTTACCCAAACTGTAATGCAAGACTCAAACACTGTAAAACAAACGCTGCAAAATATAAAGAAATCCTAGAGAAGCATTTATTTCCATGTGCAAGAGAATCAGAGCTTCAGAGAGCATTTACTCTCTGGAAGCATCTGGAAATGCTTTGAAGGCAACATGGTGGAGGTCCTGAAGTGGCCCAGTCAAAACCTACCACCATGGGAATGCAGTGTCTGGATGTCACTGCAGGTGTCTGGGTTAAACCAGCAGCAGCTATGGGAGCGGTTCCCGGCCCGGCCAGCTGAACCCGGCCAGCACCGTGGAATGTGGGTTTCCCTGGGATGAAGTCAGCATCACAGAAACCTGCTAAGGCCTCGGAGGGAGCGGCCCAACACTGCGGTGCCACATGTCACAGAATCCAAAGTGGGCTTTCATGTAGCCGACCCGCCCATCTTTCCATGCTCCCTTCATCTTCTCCTCTGCTTTCAGAGGAAACTTCCAAAGAAAACGATCCGGCTGAACCAACCCTCACTGTTGTCTTACCTACATTTAGTGGTGGCTGTGAAAATGCGTTCATGGCCTCTTGATGGTCAGCTACCCTGATAATGTGAGTGAAAATGAGCTTCAGAATTGCATTTTTAAGTCCTGATGACTGGTTTATTCCACATCCTGCATTCTGAATCAGGCTTTCATACCTGTGGGTTGGTTCAGGGAAGCAGCAGGTTCTGACAGACTCCCAGGGTCAATGGGAATCTAACAGCAAAATATTCAATAGAAAATGTCGTTTGGGAAGCTGAAATACCTGAAATAGCTGAAATTTAGCACGCTATTGGCTGGCGATGGAAAGCAAGTCAAGCCAGGAGCACATTTCCTTTTCCTTGTTGCTGATTGGCTGTACCTCTAAGATAAGGAAGACTGTGGATGTTAGCCTCTGCGGTACTGCTAAAGCCTGATTCATGCTTGGCGGACCAAACTTTTGGCAGCGCACATAGACAGTTTCATGTGGAAAAGCAAGGTGGATGAGCCATAGCTCCTCCTGGTGGAGGTTTGCAAAGACAGACTTTGTGATTTTGCCCTTAAAGACCATAGCGCTCACGGCTGGGACAATGTTACTCCTAAATGTGTTCACACCCTGTTCTCTGTGCAGAATGCACATGCATCAAGCATAAACCAAGTTTAAGACAGTTTCCACTGTGTGTGTTAATGCATATTTAATGTCTGAATTATTAAAATATTCAGTTACAAGTGGTTTTAATGGAGGCCTCAAGTATTTGTGGAATGCAGGGAGCCACTGTCTTGGAGATGCTGATTTACACCAACAGGTGGCAGGGTCCCCTTTTTATTTACAATCTGAATTACAAATAAATAAGTAAAGTTTCTCTCTTATTGGACTTCTGTCTCATTAGTGGAGCTACGGTTTAGAAATCAGGCTTCTTTAGGCTGTCTGACTGGTTTCAGTTCAGGCCTTGGTGGTCACAGGCACCACACAGGTACTGAGCAGTAATTATACACTAATAGGTAGAAAAGGGCAACTTATTTTCTTTGTTGCATCATTGATGAAATATGTCACATTTTCAGTTTTGCAGCTGGTTCCTTCCATGAATTTATGATGGATGCAGAACATTTATCAATTCGTTTTCAGCCTAAATGGAGAAAATAAATGTTAGGTGATTTTTTCCTTGTCTGACCAAAGTCCTGCAGCAGCAGCAAAGGATTTTTTGGGAAGTGCAAACAATTGTTAATAAAGGGGGCCTCCGGCCTGCAGTGTTAGGAGGAAGCGATAAATTCCTGCATAGTGGAGATAAGAAAGGAACATTCATATCTCCTTTCATGCTGTGTGGATCACAGCAGGTGAATGTTTCAACGCATATGACTCGTTTCTTCCACATAAAGCAGAGATTCATTTCTGTTAAAGTACCAAACACACAAAAAAACATCCTGAAAAATCAGATTAACTTCACATCCAGAATAAAAACATAAAGTATGATCTGGTTTGGCTGGTTCTGAACCAGATCAGCCGGTCAGAACTCAGGAACTTTATGACCTCATTAAAACAAGCCCAAAGAGTGAAAACATGAACACTGGCAGGATGCATCATTCCTGCCATGCCTGGTGACTACACCAGATCGAACTTTATAAGAAAAGCTGAAACAGAGCGGAGCTGCAGCAGAGAGCATGAAAACAGATCCAGGATCAGTTAGTCCCACTTGCTGTGTTGAATAACTCGTGTTTAATTCTCTATACTAACATGTCTGACATATTCTAACAAAAACAAGTAAAACCAAGTTTCTACCCAACATCTGCACCAAGAACCACTGAAGGAAACGACACGTCTGAAGACACTGAGGGCAACTTCCTTCTTCATTACATGTAAACAAATGGAGTGTTGGCAGATTTTAGTGTTGTTGGGTCTCTTTAGCCATTTCTCCTGCTAGCAATAAACTTGCACGTTTATTTTGGTTGCATTTACCCAGAATGCCCTGCGTTATAGTCCTCTTGGCTTTCACATATGCATTCAAAGAGTTCACTGCAACCGAACCAAGATTTAGGTCTGCAGGTGGAACGCAGCGAAACTTTACAACAAGCCGTTTTACTGACAAACATGCAGCAAAAATGGGAAGGAAAACTCTGAACCTGGCTCAGTGTGAATGGCCATCTGCCGCTACCGACTGGGGGTTTGACAAGAGCGAGCAAACACACAAAAACAAAGAAACTCTGATCCAGGAGTATTTAAGTACTACACCGACAATACTCTTAAGAGTTAATGGTAACAGCAGCTCCTTTAGTGCTGCTACCTTGGGATGCCTTAGTCTCCCCAGGTTGGGTAAATCCATCATCTTCCACTTCTCAGAGATTGGGTTGCAACATCCTCCAGCTGGTTCTGTGGGATCCTAAGCTGTTTCGGGGCCAGACAGGACATAGTCTTTCTGGGTCTTCCAAGGACTCTCCTCCCAGTGGGACAAACCCAGAAAACCTCCAAAGGGAGGAGCCCAGGAGCCATCCGGCCATCCCTCAATGCAGACGCAGCATCTCTGCTTCGAGCTCCTCCTGGATGACGGAGTTCCTTGCCCCATCACTAAGGTGGAGTCCAGCCCCCTATGGAGGAAGTTCAGATCGGCTGCTTATATCTGGGAAGATGGGAGACAGGCGAGAGCAGGAGCTTTGGGGGGAGGTGGGGTGGGGGTCTTTGGTATGATAATGAGTCATTTCTTGAATTTTCTTTGCCACTTCTTGCTGGCAACCAAAACCAACATGACAGTGTCTCTAAAGAACTGGAGTTTAGTCATTTATTAACTTGTTTTATGATCCTCCTGGTCTTCTTTAATGCAGTCTGTTTGTTTGTATGTTCCTGGTATTAAATGGTCCTTTTCTGTGCGTCCTCAGAGCGCATCGAGGCCTTGCAGCAAAACCTGACACAGGCTTTCCATGAGACAGAGTCCTGCTTCAGCCTGAAGATGGCAGCTGAGAACCAGAAGTCAGCAGCTGAGAGTCTGACCAAAGTCTGTGAATCCAAGCGGCAGCACCTGGAGAAGCAGCTGTGAGTCCATCCTTCTGCTGGTCTCAGTGTTGTTAGAGGTCGAGGTTTTCGTTCTGACTCAGTTTCTGTTTGTTTCAACAGTCAGAAGTGTAAAGCTGCAGAATCAGAAACTCCTCAGGTGAACCAAGCAGGCTCCTCTGTCTCATCGTCTCCCAACTCTGCTGCCGCGCCCCTCGCTGGTATTCCCGCGCTGACGCTACTCATTTGCGCTGCTCTCCATCTCATAACCTGTGAGTACCAACAGCTCCTCTGATAATCACTCACACACGAAGCCAAGTCATCTCTGGGGGCCCAAACTGCTGTAACAGAACATGCGACGCCTTTATCTCTTCTCAGCATGTCAGATAAACTAAAGGAAAGTGGAATTGACAGAAAGTAGGGAAGTAAAACCTGAATTTAATGTTTGAAATTGTTGATATAACAGCTACACGGCAGCTTGTGTCAGATTAGTTTCAATTTACATGAGATTGAAGCAGAAGAGTCATAGCACCATCTGCTGGCTGCATGTTGTTACTGCACTCATAAAGGAAACCTCCCTGTGAATAGAAAGGTCAACAATTTGTTTTTCTGTTTTCTATTAGCACTATACAACTGCTTTTATTGGTATATTCATAAAATCTGGGCCAGAATTCCCTCCTGGTCTTCTGTCTTCAGAGCTGATTCCACTTCGTTAGCTCCTGTTTCCACTGTCGTTTTGAAAACTGAACACAAATTCTGAGCAGATCTTTTGAAGCAAGTTTGACCACATGTCCAAAACGTGAATTTGTAAGCGACTTTGTTTTTCAGGTTTTACCTTTCCATTATGTTGAAAAAACCCACAGATTGTCAGCAAATCCCCAGATTGTTGGAAGAAGTTTCAGTTGGAGACGTTTCTATGCGACACTGGTTGTTGGATGCTTCATCGATGGCAGCAACCACACTGTCTTCTCCAGAAATCCCAAACAATCAAATAGTTGATTTATCAAAGAAAGTAACGTTCGACCATTCTCGGTTTTTCTTGGACAGAAAGTCACAAAACTATATAAAATATTAAGCTTCTATTCTGCTGGATTCAAGTTTAAATCTAATATTATTCTGGTGAACATGCAGATTTCCAGGATCTATTCTTCAAGCTTAATTTCTTCCATAAATAGGAAATCACTGAGAGCCATTAAATTGTGGTTCACTGAAACTGTTTGGGTTTTGTCCAGGAGTCCAGAGCGGCGGCGGGTCAAACCGGCAGCCAGCACAGCGGTCCAGGAGGGGCGGAGACAACACGACTGCTGTACAAACTTCCTGTCTGCACAACAACGGGGTCGCCATGGAGACGCTGTCATACGATGGACACTTGGATAGACTTTTTTGCTTTTCATTTGCTCTCATCTCCGGATATGAACTGCTTCATGTTGGACTCTCCAAGCTTTGCTCCTCTTCGCCCAGCAGCGCCTGGGTCCAGAACGTCAGAACTCATTCACGCCAGCGTTTGGTTTATTTTCTGCTATGGCTTCAATCAGGCTGAGGGAGAAAAGGGATTTACTGCTGTCAGTTATGTCTCCACTAAATGTCTGTGTGCTTCGTTTTAATGCCTCAGTTACTGCTTGAAACCTTTTGTCTCAACTTTTAGATGTTATCAAATTCTGGTTTAAATTACGGCTCAGGGTGGGATGTACTCATTTCAAGAATAAACCTGAGCACTTTCTACATGCGTCTGTTTCCTTTCCGTCAACTTAAAACCTAACAGATCGATGTCACAAACGGCAGCGTGCAGCGATTCAGGTGTCGAAGTAGAAAAGGATCTAAAAGGTGATGCTTATCCAAAAGTTTGCAGAACCACTTTTATTATCAATAACTAAATTATGTTGTTGTAAATGAATTTCTGGTTCAGTTTCTTTCTCAGCATTTTAATCATGTTGAATATGACCAAATATGTTGGTTTTATCAAAGATTAATTTAAATCTAAATCAGCCACACATCCAAGTCAGAAGTTTGGATTTGTGGTTTAAAAGTACTTTAAGATTTAAAGTTGAAACTTTAAAACTGTGTTAGCTTAAAAACAAACAAGCATGAAAAGTTTTTAAAACTTTATTGTTTGGTTTGTACAGCGTGTCTCTGAGCTCTATGCACACTGCAGGATGCTGAAGTTGCACAACGTTCCTCTGGGACATCCACACAGCTTCCCGATCCTCGCTCCTTTACGCACCGCACACTGCTCACCGGCGACGCACTGGCAGCCAAAAAATCAGAAAACGCACACATGACAACACGACCCAGCAGATTACAGGACATCATAATAAATGAAACAAATGTAATTATTAACATCTGACAAGTTCTAATTGAGGAGGAAACATGAACCCTGCAGCTGGTGTGAAAGATGCATCAAACGTTGCATGTTTTTTGTCCCTTCTGGCATTCCATACCCGAGCAGGAGAGCCAAGGTTTATCAGAGTTTAACGAGTGAGAAAACTGAGCGAACGTTTGAGATTTAAACTCTCACACCACAAATTATTGTTTGCTTGCATAGATACAGTCTCACTGCGCGCTCAGATTGAGGTTTTGAGCAACCTGGAGGAAACGTGAGGGACTTTAGTCTCACTGGGAACGTGTTGCTGTTAGACACCCAGAGCCCCCCGTGTCTGCAGGCGAGGCGCAGCTTACAGGTGGAAGCCAGCCGAGCTTCTTCTCCGACGACGGCAGCTGTTTGTTCTTGAGCTTCTCCAGGACTTCCTGCAGAGCCTCGATCTGAGGATGAACAGAGGCTCTCTGATGACATTCCACAGCAGGGATGAGGTAAACTAAAATACATTTTTTCCTTTGAAATGTCTCTTACAAACCCTGGAGACCTGACTGATCCAAAAACAAAACACTAATTCAACCAAAAACAATTTTAATAACTTTAATATACAAAATAATAGATGATCAATAAGTTATTGATCCATTAGGAATAATAAAGATTCATAACATTGAAAGGATCCAAACAAATTGTGCTAAGGAAAATGACATTCCTGTTCAAATTAATAAAGTTACAAAACGGTTCTCTAAAACATTTTCCCATTAAGTTTTCAGATGGAAACAAGTTTGGTAATTCTAGCTAATCTAAAATAATAAAAGTTTAGTCTCACTCCACTTCAGGCAGAGAGAAAAAAATGCATCCGTCTATGAAAATATCTGGTTTCAACTGTAAATAATGTTTTTGTTTTTTTTAATTTAGGCTCTTAAACATTAAATTGAACTTTATTAAAAACTGAAGCATTCTGATGTTGCCGTATGAACCCTGTGTGGACTCACCAGCTCCTTCTCCTCTTCGGTCTTGATGACGTCGTACTCGGGCGATCGCTCCTCTAGTCGCTCGTCGCAGCTGCCCAGCGCCACCAGCAGCCAGCAGGAGGCGCTGAGCAGCAGCATGGTGGCGTTGACCATGGTGCTGACCGACTCGGATGCGGTGGAGGCTGAAGGCTGTGAGGTCGGCGGAGCTGCGGCGGCCTGCTGGACGCTGAGGCTCCGTCCGCAGCGTTTATACCCAGCAGGAGCGGCTCTGCCGTCACTGCGGCAATATTTACCCCATAACGAGGCAATCAGACGGCTCACCTCAGGGGTCAGCGGAGGTCAGGAGCTCTGCTCCGTCAAACAGGAAGTGACGCAACCATTTTCACCTTTTGACCAACTGAGAGGTTTTCTGTGACGCCTGCGATTCGTTTGAAACCTGGAGTCTGTCGGTCCAAACTGGTTTCCTGTCCAACAAAAAGCTCCTGGTTTAACTGGAGGCGACTGGACTTTTCCTGTTGGAGAATGCAGCTGCCTTCTTTTAAACATTTTAATGTCCTGGAAGACCAAGAATCTACGGAGGACCGATCCTGCCAAACGTAGTGATACATGTACAAATAAATAACTGGTTTCAGAAAGTACTCAATGTGCAAATATTGAATTAAAATTTTAAAAATTAAGAACTTTCCCAACTTATTTTATGATACTGTGTAAAATTAATATTTATTGCATTCAGTAGTATTAATTTAACATTATAAGAAATGTTTTATTTTTAAACCTTATTTTGAGACTAAATAAAATATATGAAAGTAAATAAGAAGATATTAAATACAAAATGTATAAAATCAGAAATAAAAGGGAAGTTAATAAAAACAATAAGTTTAAATGATGTTAAAATAATACTGCTGAAAATTATAATTAACTTAAAGTGTAATGTGTAGTTCGCAATGATGTACAAGGGTCGGTCTAAATAGAAAATAAGAAGAGTAAATTTGGGCAAAACACTGAAATTTTGAGATTATTAAATTCTTAAATTTTTAAGAAAAAAACTTGGAAGTTTGAGTCTGAAAAGTCAAAATTTTACCATAAAAAAGTCAGAAATTTAGAAATTAATCAGAATATTTCTGAACAAACAAGGACATTTGAGTTTGAAAAGTTCAAAAATTCCTAGAAATAAACTAAATAAAAAGAACATTTTGAAAAATAATCTCAAAAAATCTTCTTAATGAAAAACCCTCCATGTTGTTTTTTTTAATGATTTTCTGGTGGAATTTTATTTTTTTCTCTCCACAATGCCCCTAATATGTTGATGTAGTAATTTGCTTTGTGAATCTGTTTGTTGAAGCACTATTATATTATCTTACTGTTCCACTTTCTTTTTGTCTAATTAAATAATTTGAGAAAGTCATTACTTGTTATATTTGGATAAAACATTTGGCACATTACTGTCTTTATCAAGGCATTTCGCTCTACATTTGTCACTTTTGGCAGGATCAGCCCTCCATAGATACAGTAAAATCTCAGAGGTTTAATAAAAACTCGGACAGAAACCTTTTCTCCTCAGTGGATCTGAGATATCAAAGCTCAAAGCCTTTTAATGCCTACGTTATTTTAATTTAAGACTTTCAGGTAACATTTGGATAATTTTTGGAGATTATATCATAAAACTGAGATGATAACATTTCAGACTGTGAGACGCGGATAAAACTAGCAGATCTGATCGGAGTCGTAAATCCTTTACCAAGTGAAAGACGGAGATGAAGCTCATGGAAACACGTAGACGTATTTGAAGCGTCTCTTTAACCGGAGCAGCTGACAGGAAGAGCCGCGGCTCTGCAGGGTCTGTCTGTGTCACCGATTACGTCAAAGCAGCCAAAGTCAGTCAACACGCCTCAGACACCAGCAGCTCAACCGAGACAAACAACGTCGTTATCGTCTCTTTTTAATAACAACATACTTCAGATTTATCAGACATCTCATTTTCTGCTACAATATCCAGTTTTTACAACACACACTCAGAAAATAACCACATATTATTTTAATAACTCTGAACAAAATTACCTTTTTCAAACCAAAAACAAATAAAATAATATATGTTTAATAGTAAAAAATAAAGAGCTAATTGACAAAAAAAAAACAAAAGCAAACTGTAGCTTTTTGTCTTCTACTATAAAAAAAGGAAAAACTCTGAAATTCCTGAAAGTCAGTAACTGCCATCTCCTGTTTCACCACCAGATGTCAGTATTTGTTAAAACAGCAGGGTTAGCGTGTGTTTACCGGGTCTTCCTGCGTGTTCAGAGGGACGTTTAGTCTTTGGAGGGCGGTGTGGATCTCTGCTGAGCCTGAAACACAAACACACGAGTCCAATCACCTTCCTCCAAAACTCAGCTCAACGAATCGCCTCTGAACTGGAGTCAGAACCGTCTGGGCCCGGCCTGTTACTGACCAGGAAGCTGCCGGTGTGGAAGCCACACATGTACCACAGCATGAACATGTTGGTGACGGCGCTGACGTCCGGGCAGTCGCCCACTTCCTTCCCCTGGAGCGTCCAGGCAGGAGGAAGAGGAGGAGGGATGAAGGACAGAGGGCTCTGCAGAGCAAAAACATTAATAATAAAAACATCTACAGCTCATAAAAACGCTGATATGAAACCAACAGAGGCTTCTTCAAGTTCACTGCAACACAGACTGCTACAGAGATCTTTCCTGTCAACAGCTTCACTACCTATAATAACTCTGAAGAATTTTAATTCATTTGAGTTATTTAATTTCCCTTTGAGATCAATAACTTTTTTTTTCATTTGAAATGAATTGAATTTAAGAATGTATGGAGGACTGATCCTGTCAAAAGTGGCTAAAAATGTAGAAAATAAATAAATGGCTTCCTAGAGTAATTAACGCACATTCCACAAGCGCTGCTGACTTGAACCACCTCACAGATGCATTTTTGTCTGCACTTGCTAATCCATAACAATGTCTAAAAATTCCACCAGATGTAAAGCAAGTGGCTTCCCTTTAGCACAGGGATCAGTCCCATGAATCCCTGCTGTGGAATAATTGCATGATGGACTTAAATTGAAGTATACAAAATAAAATTTTTCCCAACTTATTTGATCATACAGTGTAACAGATTAAAGGGGCAGTGTTATGCGTTTTTCAGGCACATTGTGCCATTTTATTCCACAATGAAGTAACTACGTTGACTTCAATTATAAAAATCAAACATGACTCAAAAAATGACTTTGTAATTTAACGCCTTGAAATTGGGAAACTTTAACACAGGTGTGTCCAAACTTCAGACCAGGCTGAGCCGTTTATGCTGCATAGACAGAACTTTAACATAGCAGTTATGTGCTTAAATATTATTTTATCAGTCAAATCACATCAGTTTGTATTTCCAGAATGTTTACATCAGTGAGATAAGATGTATGATGTCTGATGTTAAGAGTTGCTAATTGAATGCAGAGAAAGCTGTAACATTTGAACATTCATGATCTCAACGTGGCCTGAAACTCGCTTCCCTGCTAAATTTTAGCAAAACGTTAGCAAAATGTTAAAGTGTATTTAAATTCCCCAAACATAACAAAATTAGGAAAATACTAACTTTAGTGATGACAGGTTTAAAAACCCAAAAGAGTGAGTCAGATTTACCATTGATTCGATCTGAGGAGGAAACGGAGGGAAGAAGATGTTAGTCGGGTCTCCTTTCCTTTTCTCTGCGGTTTCTTTCTCCACTGTGTTCTCATTCTTAGATCCCGCTTTCATCTGACAACAAAAAACAAGAGATTCGTATAAAAAAGCCCAGATTGTCAGAAAGAGGCTGCTAGTGTCTTTATTATTTATTTTAGATTGGAGTTTTACTCCTAACTGCTCTGACTGGACAAATTAAAGTTGATTTATTTGTTTGACTGAACTGGTGAAGCTGTTGGAGTTTTAAAGGTATCAAATAAATGTGTCATTCAGGACATTTATGTCTGTGTTTAAAAACAGAAACGTTTTTCTGGATCGGAATCAGCCGATACTAAACCTCAGATATCAGAAGTGAAAAAGTGGATCGGTGCGTCCCTAACAATCCGTCCCAACCAGAACACCGACCATGTTTGGACTGTCTCTCGGTGTGGACGTCCTCTCTCGTCCTCTGTCTCCTTTGCTCGAGTCTCTCCTCTGTCTCCTCCAGTCCAGGTTGCTGCTGGGAGGACTGGGAATCCAGCTGCTGCCCTGCAGCACCAACAAACGAAGCTTCATGACACCAAACCCAGTTTCCCCGTCATTCTGCAGGTCTCACCTCAGAATGCCCAACATTTGGTTGGAGGAATTGTTTTCAGACCATTTTCATGTACACTGCAAAAACACAAAATCCTACCAAGTATTTTAGTTTAGCTTTTAGCTCAAATATCTTAGTCCACTTCAGTTATTGACTTAATACAAGCTCCTACAAGTTTACCGAGATATTTGCACTCGAACCTAGACAAAAATACTTGGTAAACTTTTGTGTTTTTGCAGTGTAACATAATGAAAATGACATAATAATAATAATAATGCAGGAAACCAAAGATCAATAAACTTTAAATTTTAACAAATATTTAACAGTGGAACTGGAAGACATTTTAAATATCCAAAATAAATAAACAAAACAACAGAAACAATAATTATAATAAATTATGAAGTCTCTCTAAACAAAATTATCCTTCACAAAAAGAGCTAATGGAGACCAAAACACCAGACTGAAAACTTTCATTATCCAGTTTTTGGTAGAAAGAGAGAAAAACGATAAATTATGCCAACAGAAATAACTGAGTTTGTTGTCATTTTTCATGAAAATAATTGATTTATTGCTTATTATGCCAGGCCTATTTTACCAGAGCTATACGAGTAAACTCCTATCGATGGACGTGTCGCAGCGTTACCTTGGTTACGGCTGCGGCTCTGCTCGGGCCGCGCAGCTCGTCAGGATGCAGCAGGCTGCCGACGTCCAGCTCCTCCTCGTTGTTGTACTCGTCGTAGCGAACGCAGCAGCGCTGATCTTTGACCCACAGCACCACAGCGGGGTAAACCAGGCCGTCGGCCGAGTAAACGGCCCGGCAACGCGACCCGGGCTTCCAGTCCTGAAACACACACATTAAAACACCACTACTTACAATGTTAATGTTATCAACAAACAGTCTGCAGAAAACTGAAGCATCTGGTTTGTTTTTCTAATGAAGGCCATCCTGAACAACTGCTGAGAGCCAATCAGAACGCTGGAATCCACCTGAGCCAGACCAGCAGAGATCGCATTTCCTGCTGCAACTCAAGAACTACAACGTTCCCCAGCAGCTGCTGGTCGTCTTCTGGACAGCCGTCATTCACCAGGACAGGTCAAAGGTCATAAAACATGTGAAAAACTCTTTACTTTCTGATCGGCAGTAACGTCTGACTGATCTGGTGATTAAAAATTGGATTAACTGATTAATAACAGGATAACAGAAAGTGCTCACTTTGAACATTTCTTCACAGAATTTGAACCAGGGGAAGCTAAAACTCACCTGATGAGTTCTACGTTAAAATATTTATAAAGAAGTTTTTTATCTTAAAAAATGCTAAATATTTATATTTTTTGTACAGTTTTGACTTAATTGCTGCTCTCAGTGTTGTTGGCCTTTAAGTCTTTATACTTCAGTTGACAGTTAATAAATTACTTGATTATTTCAATAATCGATTCATCGCAATTTATCTGACTAATCGCTTCAGCTTTATATCCTGGATGACACATCTGTGAAAAATAAATCGCTCACCAAACTTTTCCATTCAGGTGAGAGCTGCGTATTTTTCCTTACATTTAAATGTCTATTTGCTGAGAGGATGTGAGCCTGCGCGACCTTTCCTACCTGCAGGTTGAATGAGTTGACTTGAAGCTAACGGCTAACCTGAGGCTGCGAGTTCTGCGTTTGCTCTGTAGCGCCGGGACTCTTCAACGCGCTCCCGGCCACGTCCTCCTCGTTGCCGTAGACACTGAAGCGAATCCTGGAGCGCTCGCCATCAGCCGCCACCACCGCCACCGGGTCGATGGTCCTGTTCTCTGACCACGCGCCCCAACACTGAGCGCCCACCTGATGGAGACATTAACCTGATGAGACTCAACCAACTGAAAAGACAAAAAATATTCTTCTTTTTGATTATTTACTCATTTTTTTGTATTTGACTTTTTAGACTTTCAGAAATCCTGTAAGAATCTAAATGAAATCGGAGATTCATGATTAATCATTTCTCATATAAATGCTGTTTTATTATTATTACCTTTACTGCCTCAGTGTCTGTCTTTCCGTCCAGCTTTTCTTCCTCCTGCTTTTCTCTCCTGCCCATCTCCACCAAAGCTTCAGGTTCTCTGAGCTGCACAATTTGAATGAAGTAAAACACACACACACACACATATATATATATATATAGAGAGAGAGAGAGAGAGAGAGAGAGAGAGAGAGAGAGAGAGAGTCATGAACCTGAGATATTTCAGGAGTTTCGCTCGGGGTCGCCTCGGTGTCGTTTACCACAACCAGGGCAGGAAGCTCCTCCTGTGGACAGAAAACACCGTTACAGCCTCCAACAACTTCTATAAACCCGGGAAAATGTCAACAGTTCACCATCTCGACAAGTCTTTGAAGTTGAAAGTGGAAAACGGATTATCTGAGGAACGGCCGCCATGTTTGTTCTTGCTAACCGTTTGGCAGCTTGTTAGCTCCTTGGCTAATGCGCGAGGCACTTGGATTACATTTTTCCGTTGCCTTTCGACTTCCGTTTTTATTGTATTTTATTTCGTTTATGTTTTCGTTTTTAAATGTGAAATTGGGTTAAAAACACAAACCGGCTCCACGGCTTCGCGAGGAACGCAGTTTTCTGTCATGGCTGCCAATAAATCAGACACTACCCACCATCACGCAGCTTCACAGCCACTAGCCAAGGAATGAAGAAGGACTTCCGGTCAGGCAGTTCAAAATAAAAGCAGACTCTTCATTCCCTTTGCTGTGAATAGAACGGAGTTTATGGAAATCCGTTTATGTCTAAGTTTAAGCCTCCCTGTGTTTTAATAAATTTTTTTATTTTATTTAAAACGAAATTTTTCCATTACTATGAACCAAATAACAAGACAGAGTAAATATATAAATATATATATAAGTATTCTTCTTCTAAAGAATACTTTAATATTTAGAACTAATTTAAGTTTTGTTTATCAAATAATATTTGATAAATATTATCAAATATTTATCAAATAATATTTGATAAACAAAAATATTAAGTTGTGTGCAAATTCTGTTTTTGAAAGAGTAAAATAAAAAAACATCAGAAATAAATGACAAATTAAGGTTAAATAAACTTTTTTAAATTGTTTTATTATTATTATTATTATCATTATTATTATTATATAAAACGTTAGTAGATTTGCTAACAAACACTGTAAATAGCATCATTTATACTTTGACCAACACTGAATAAAGCTTGGTTAGGTTATTTTCTAGTCTGTGGAATCACTAAAGTCCTATGTCTGGACTTTGATTAGGCCATAGCAGCAATTTGCTGGAATTATCATTTTTATCACTAAAAACTTGCTAAATATTTGCTTTTGGTACTTTGTTTCCTCCTTTTGGTTGAATAAGGAACCAACAACAAAAGTCTGAATCAACTGAATCTGAAATTGCAAATTAATTTGTTAGTTGTGGATTCAAACAAATGAGGAAGGAAAAGAAAGATCAAATATTTGTAAAGAGAGTAATGCAGCCTGTGTATTCCAGCAGGCAGTTGAGCAGACAGCTAACTCCAGACTGTGGAGGATAAACAGAAAGGAAGTCCAGGATGTTAACGAGATGTTTGGAGAGCTGAGAGCTGCAGGAAAACCAGCAGACTGAAGACAGCAGAGCGAAAACCAGCAGGAGGTTTCACACTTTTCACACTTTCAATTAAAGGAGCCGTCAGCAGGTTGGTGGATTCTAGAGAAGCAGCACAGCTCACTGAGAGGGAATAAACTTTGTAACAGAAACATGATTAAAAGGTTAGAACAAACTTTAATTCCACTCGCCCTACACATTTATCTGTTTAGTTTCATTTAGCTTGATAAAATAAACTTTCTATTAAGTTATTTATACAATACAGTAAAACAGGAGTGTCCAAAGTATGGTTCGGGGGCCATTTCTTGCCCTTGGAATGATTATGTGCATTCTTTAAGAATGATACAAATTTACCCTGATTACTTTTATTTGTAATCAGGGTAACATAATTTTATTACAATGGGAAATGTTATTTACAACACAAAGTATTCAACTTTTTATAACCAAGCTTTTATGAGCCACGTTTATCCAGAGACTTTTACTGGAAAGTCACCTTTGCTGCATGCACTTCATTAACTCGACTAAATACAGGAAGACTTTCAAAAGCCAGTGACCAAATCCTGGTATTATGCCGTAAATAAATTCAGCTGAGCCCAAATGAGTTGTCTTTCTTTCAGTACAACATAATCATACAAAATCCTTTTTTTCGTTTTGGATCTATAACGAATAACATCACTTTCCTCCAAAAAAAAAAGTAAAAACAACAACAACAAAAAAATTGTAATACTGCAATTACTTGATTTTATTTTGTTATATTTTCTTGACCTATATAAAAGAGGATTAGAGCCACTGGAAAAAAACAGACAAAAAATAATCCTGACTTTTTTTATCTGAATTCTTAGAAAAACTCTTAGATTAAAGTCAGATTTCTGAGGGAAAAAATATCTGAATTATTATTATTATTTTTTAGTGGCCCTAATCGTCTTCCGTACTTCTGACTCAATGGTTTTGGCCCACATGATAAAAAGTTAGTACACCCCTCCAGTAAAATGTTCAAAATCATCAATAACAGAAAGTTCAGAGGAGAAAATTCAGAATTTAGTAAAAGTGGAGAAAGGCAAACAAAACAACAATAATGCGATATTACCAAGTATTTTGAGTCTAGTTTCTAGTGAAAATATCTTATTACACTTGAAATGAGACAAAACTAACTTAAAAGTAACTTTTCAGTAAGATATATGAGCTTGTTTTAAGTCAATAACTCATAAATGTTTATGAAAGTGCTTGATTATTTCCCTTATGGGAAAATATCTTGCTATAAACTCACCAAGCTAAAGACATTCAGCAGCAATATGCTTAAAATGAGCGTTTTGTTCTCAGGGTCGCGGCTTATTCTCTCTTTGGAAGCCTTTTAAGTGTTTATTTTTAGTAGAAAGTATTTTTAGTTGCTGAATTTTAAAGTCCTGAATATTTTAATAAGCTGCCAAAAAGATAAACATCATCTCTGCCAGATGAAGCTTTACAGTTAAAATTATTTAAAGCTTCTAAAAAGCTTGAGTGAAACTACTGAAGCTTCAGATTCCAGCCGACAGATCCCAGCGAGGCGTTCACTGACTGATCAAAGCAGTCATGTGATCAGCTCTGATTGGCTGATCACGAGCCTCGTCACGCTGATCACATTAGATTAAATCATGTCATCTAATGTGATGACAAGATTAAACAGTCATCACATTAGATGACCACAGTTTTGTATAAAACTGTTGTCATTTATGGTGGATCATTAATCACCTGTGAGCAACAAAACAAAAAGAAATCACTTTAAAAAATAAAAGTTTTTTTTACTTGAATTAAAAATGTGTAGATAAAAAAAGTTGCCATCAAAGTTGGGGGGAACTCTGAGAAAGTTTGACTTGTTGCACATATTATTTATTATTTAATATGAATTTCTTTCCCTTTCACCAAATAAATTAATTTGATGAATTGTTTTAATATTAATAATTCTAAAGTCAATAAAATGATTTTATCTGTTCTTCTGTTTTATGCAATATCTGCACACAATATCTACAGTAGAAATGGTACAATGCTTTTAATATAAAAATAAAAGCATTGTATGTGCTTTATAATATTAAGTTAGCTACTTATATTTGTTTATTTTCATTATAAGGAAAGGATAATTCTTTTCACAAAAATTCAAAAAGCATTGAGTTTTATTTTCATTCTGTTTTATAATAAGAATAATTCGTTTAGGATCTCATTTAATTTCTTTGTTGGTTTTTATTGCAAATAATGTAAAAAATATTCTTCATAATAGAAAAGTCTAATATATATATATATATATATATATATATATATATATAGCTATATGGTCAAATAAGTAAATGTCAAGAATTTTAGAACACAATGAATAAATAAATTAATAAAAACTACAAATAATGAAAAAATACAAAATATTTGTAGGTTTCTAACTGAACCAGCAGGTGGTGCTATAACATAATCTCTGTTCCCAGCAGACAGTTATTCTCTCTGCAGGCTTATGAAACCTTCACATCACAAATATAAAGATTCACCTCAAAACAAAGAGTTTAGCTAAAACCAAATATATTTCTGAATTTTAAAAACATGTTTGGAACGTGCAGATGTTTAATTTCGTGATGAATAAAGGTGCTGAGCAGGTCGTAAAAGGACTTTTTGCATCATGAATGAGTCATAATGACTCATCAGGCACAATATTAGATAATCCTCAGAAATATTCACTTTATTATTGTTTTTTGTCTTTTTAGTTCAAAACACCCAAACACGTGATTGTTCTTTATTTCAAGAATTGAATCATTTAATAATCATAAGCTTTTTATTTTATTCGTTATTTTTGTAAGTTTAGTCATTTGTTTTTTATTTTAAAATATAGCCTACGAAAATACAGAATTTTATTCAAACTTCTTGCAGAAATTCTCTTTTACTCCAGCCAACTGAAATATTGATTACATTTGTTTTTGATGCTCTGCAGGAAAAAAATCCTAAAATCTCAGTTTCCCTCCTGATATTTCATGTGATTTTCATGCAGCTTGTGCTCAGTTTCATTTTCATTTCTCAAAAAAAACTTAGAAAATATGAAAGAGCACCAAACGGCTCCTGATGACCCATGAAACTCCCCACAAATCCCCCTAAACAGAACCTTTCTGCCGGGACTCCCCCTGCCCGCTGCTGGTTCTGCCCAGACACGTCCTGCAGCGCTGCAGTGCCGCAGCCTGGCCGCTAGGGGCAGCATGCGACCCGGTTCAGCCTGCAGGAACCCGCGTGTTGCGTGAAAACATGCAGCCTGCATGCGGGACAGAAGCAATGCAGCTTAAACACACTAATTTATTTTATTCACTGCAACACATTCAGAAAACGTTTCTTTAAGGCCTTTGATCATTTGACCTTTGACCTCATGGTAGTTTCTAATCCGAAACATGCAGCTGACTGGCTCGTGTTTATCACCGGACTTTTTCCATTCTGTATTTTTAACTATTGCACAACCTGCATCATCATCATCCTCATCAGCAGCAGTCCGTTATCCAACCCGGCGGGCGCGTGCCCCCACCCCCGCCCTCCCCTCCTTGTTTCTGGACCCAGCAGCCTCCATGTAATATGAATTAGCTCAGGTGTGTGCTTTGATCTCGCTTTTTGGGGGATTTTTTAAAATTGTTTTTTGTACCAGAAAAGGAGGAAGATATGGAAATTCCTCCAGTCAGTGAGAAAGCAGCCGGTAAAACAGGCAGAGAGAGAGAGAGAGAGAGAGAGAGAGAGAGAGAGCAGGAAAAGGAGGGGGGGAATGCGGGGGATTCTCCGAAACCACCCACGTGGGATCGCCGGTATCAGCGCCGCGGTCAGCCAATCAACAGCGCGCTAAGAATTCTCTTTTGATCAGCACGGACCAATCAGAAGGCGCTCTGCTGCGCGCTGCTCCCCCCGCTAAACTGCCGATATAAATACAGGAGTTTCGGCTGTCAGAGGCAGAAAGCGACTCTACTCTCTACCGAATCGGACTTTCGTCAGAACCAGAAGCACTTCTATTCCGATCTGGATTATTCTACCCCTCTGTTTGGACTTTGTTTTTCCTCTTTCTGGAGTTTAACCGGACAGCGAGCGCTGTGGATTTAATTTATCCTTCT